CTTCCAAACATATTTATATAAACTATATATATATATATATATATACACATACACACAACACCCCTCACACACACACTGCACCCCTAAACACATTACATTCCAGACACACACTAGATCCTTTAGCCAACTCTGGATCATATATACACACACACACTCTGGATCCCCTATATGCACACTAGATTCCTTGTAAGCAAACACATACTACATTCCCTGAACACACACTCTCTACAAACACTAAATCACCTATACACACACACACACTATAGCCTGTATGCACACACTTGCTACATCCCCTATACACACATTCTCTACAGCCCCTAGCCACATATGCATTACATTACACCACAAACACAACACGACTAAAACAGACCTTATTACACAATACCACACCATGACCAGCTCACTCTGCACAAACGTAATACCACAAACAGGCTCCAAACACATGCACAATACCCTTTCCTGGCCCTTTTGTCTCCTGGTATCCATTTATAGAGACACCAGAGGCAAGTTGCAAGGAAACAGTGCAAGCATGTTATTAAATTTGCTTGCACTGTGCAGAACAAATACAGGGCTTTTTTCTCATGCTAGAGCTCTTCAGCAGAGCTCTGCCCATGGTCTGCCCTGGAAGAGCATTGAACCAACATGCTCACTTTGAGAGGGGGCGTGTTTGTCATGTTTGTGATGACAAAACACACCCTCAATGCACCGCCCCCTTCTTAGTGGGCCGCTGTGATAAAAAAATGCCCGGGCTGAATTTTTTTCCCAGTCCGGCCCTGCATATGTGCAGCTATTGTTATAATCTGCCAATCAAATGCGTCTTCTTTTTTTTTTTTTGTAAGTAGCATTAGGCACTTTCAGCCATCATGCTGTGTGTGTTGACGTTGAGCATGAAGAACTTTGAAAAATTAATCAGAATGGACAATTTAGGGATACAGCTACTATCACTAAAAATCATAACTAAAACAAAACAATGCGGTTTGGTTATCAAGTAGAAAGACACTTTATGGTTGCACTCACAAATTTTGGGTTATATTCAAGCCTTATTATCATGGAAGGCACCTTGATGGCTTATATATCACATCAAATTTGTGAGTGCAACCATAAAGTGTCTTGCTACTTAATAACCAAACTGCATTGCACTAAGTTTTTTTTTTGTTTTGTTTTTTTAGTAATAGCAGCTGGTTTCCTAAATTGTGCATTCTGTTTATATCTTATGATTGGTTACTTTATTGGGAAGTAACCAGAGGGAAGCTGCATATCCAAAGATAAGTTTGTTACTATTTGTTATTTTCACCTAGACATGGGTGATAAGGTGGAAGTGTTACATTTTTTACTTTGAAAAATGAAGCATGTAAGGGGGAAGTGGTTTAGTGGCTGTCTGTCTAACAGCCACCACTACAGGTATTTCCTGTGTTACAGGCTGCTTAACCTCTTAGTGACCAGACTGTTTTTCAATTTTCTTACCATTAAGAACCAGGGCTGTTTTTAAATATTTGTGGTGTTTGTGTTTAGCTGTAATTTTCCTCTTACTCATTTACTGTACCCACACATATTATATACTGTATTTATCGCCATTAAATGGTCTTTCTAAAGATACCATTATTTTCATAATTTTTACAAAACATACTTTTCCCAACTTTGACCCCCAGAATCTGTTACGCATCTACAGCCGCCAAAAAACACCCATGCTAAATAGTTTCTAAATTTTGTCTTGAGTTTAGAAATACCCAATGTTAACATGTTCTTAGCTTCTTTTTTTTTTGCAAGTTATAGGGCAATAAGTACAAGTAACCCTATTTAGTTTCAAACCATTTTTTTCCCTCAAAATTAATGAAAGTTACATTGTAACACTGATATATGTCAGGAATCCCTGAATAACCCTATATATGTATATATTTTTGTAAAAGATAACAACCTAATGTAACAAATTTGGTGTATTTTGACTCTTTTAATGCTACCATTTTACCACCAATCTATGCCAAATTAAAAAAAATTATTGTTGATTTTTTGGACACACATAGCAATTTAAGAATACATGTACTGAGAACTTTAAGGGTTTTCAGAAACATCTGAGTACAGTGATACCACGCATGTATAGGCGTGTCGGGTTCTCTGGGGGCTAAAAGACATTATTAGGAGGTTGCGCATTCCAGTTTTCCAACTTGGAATTTTCACAGCTGGTCATCACACTTTCCATGCACTATTTCTACCACCAGTTTTTGTCAAACTTTTGGGTAGTAATTTTGTTTTCTCACATTGTAGTTTAGGCATGGATTCTCAGTTCCTGTTATGTGTTACTGACAAAGAACACCCCAATATGTGTTCATCAACATCTGAGTACAACAGTACCCCAAATGTACAGATTTGATGGGTTTTTGCAAACTTACAGGGGTCAAATGTAGGGCTTTCCCCTTTTCCATGTTTGCACATTGAAATTTGGCAGATATGTTTTTCTGGGCCTATGTTGTCTTTGAGACTGTATGGCAGCCCAGAAATGAAAATTAACCCCATCATGGCATAACATTTTCAAAAGTAGACAACCCACGGTATTCAAAATGGGGTATACCCAGTCTTCTTTAGTAGCCACTTAGTCACAAACCCTGGCCAAAATTAGCGTTTATATTTGTTTTTTGCATTTTCTTTTTTTTACACAAAAACTGCACTCTTACTGGTGATTTCATCATCGTGATAAGTTTTACTATTTTAAACACTCATATTTGTGTTCAGCGAAGTCTCCAAAATATAACAATACCTCCCATGTACAGGTTTTATGATGTTTTGGAATGTTACAAGGTCAATATAGGGCTTGCCCAATTCAGTTTGCTGGGTCTATGTTGCCTTTTGAGACCATATGGTAGCCCAGGAATGTGAATTAAAGGGACTCTCCAGGGCCAGGAAAACAATCCATTTTCCTGGCACTGCAGGTCCCCTCTCCCTACCACCTCCCAATCCCCGGTTGCTGAAGGGGTGAAAACCCCTTCAGTCACTTACCGGAGACCCCCGCCAATGTCCCTCGGCGGTGGTTTTGGGTCGCCGCTCCTCCTCTTCATTACGTCGGGCGGGGGGACCTAATGCACAGCATTAGAGCTCTCCATAGGAAAGCATTGAAAATGCTTTTCTATGGGGAATTGAGCGACGCTGGAGGTCCTCACACAGCGTAAGGACGTCCAATGAAGCTCTAGCACACAAAATCTGTGTTATAGACACAGAAGTGCCCTCTAGTTAACCCTGCAAGGAAATTGTAATTATTGCAGTTTATAAAAAAAAAAAACTGCAATAATTACACCTGCAGAGTTAAGTGTAGTGGGAGTTGGCACCCAGACCACTCCAATGGGCAAAAGTGGTCTGGGTGCCTGGAGTGTCCTTTTAACCTCATCATGGCATACCAATTTTCAAATGTAGACAATGGGGTACTTCCAGTCTTTTGTAGTAGCCACTTTAAAAAACAAAAACTGCACTTTTACTGGTGAAATCATCGTCGTGATAAGTTTTACTTTTTAAAACACTCATATTTGTGTTCAGCGAAGTCTCCCAAGTATAACAATACCCCCCATGTAAACGTTTTATGGTGTTTTGAAAAGTTACGGGGTTAAATATAGGGCTTGCCAATTAAAACTCTCTGGACTGTCTGCCTGGGTTGACAGGCAGGTCTCTCAAATTATAATTAATAAAATCAAATAATTATGTACAGTAATACCCCGAAAATTCATGCTTCTGAATCTTCGGCTTCACAAATTCGTGTATTTCTTTCCTCGGGTAGATTTTTTAGTGACCACTGCAAGGAAGTGAGGTCACACGCAATGACGCTGCTTCCTCCTAGCGCTCTTTGAAGACAGCCGCGCACGAGGAAAAAGAGAGGAGCTCCCAGGATCAGGTAAATGCATTGAAAGAAATGGTGAAATCTTTATCATTGACTCACTACTAGTGATTCCATGATAAAGATTTCACCCCCTCCCCATTAAAGTTATTTTCTCTCCCGGACGGTAATATTATTGTCCGTCCAAAATTCACGGGGGGTCTTGGAACGTATCCCCCGCGAATGTCGTGGTATTACTGTAGTTAATAGTTAAATATATCTGCAGAATGTGTGTGTAATATATATATATTTTAAATAAAATGTATTTTTTTTAAATTTATATTATATATGCGTAATATATTATAAAATACTTAAAGCATTTTATAATATATTATACATATAAAATGCATATGATTACATTATAAGTGTATTTTGAGATATATGTGTATATATCTCAAAGTACACATAATGCCCCTGCTGGCAACTCCATAGACTGCTATTGCGTCCATGTGATCACATGGCTCTGGAGGGCCGCGGTGGACGGAGCTGCTGCAGGGGGACTGATGGGGTCTCAGGTAGTCCCCCCCGACCAGGATCTCCGGTCAAGGTAAGTGTAGGAGTGATTTTTGCCGCGGATGTACTGGGTACATCCGCAATCGTGAGCGGACGGTTTTTGTTAGACCTACCCAGTATGTCCGCTGTCGGGAAGGGGTTAGTCATTTCTGTGCACATTTTAGGTCAGCACGCACTGCAAAATGTTAAGCTATGTTAAAATCATCCCCTTGAAGGCAGGGCACCAGCAAGGGTAAGATAACGTGTCCTCCCACCAGGTGGATGCTGCCTCCAATCAAAAACTGGATGAAGTCCTCCATCTTCACGCTGACCCAGAGTGTACGCATACACTCAGTCCAATTACAGGCTGCCACGTGAGTGCTGGGTGATGTCATGATGGGGTGTAAAAGTATAATATAATATATAGGTATGCTGCATCTATCACATTGTGTCTACATAATATGGACACACCCAGGGAGTGAGCACTTATGCAAACCACAGTCTGTAACTGCAAATTAAATGAGAAGTAGGGGAGCCTGGAAGAAACACCACAGTAGGCATATGAAATCTGCTCGGTTAATAAAAAAAAAATTTAAAAAATTTAATTAAAAAAACCCACACATTATAATTTTATTACAGAAGTCACTTTAATGCCAAGTTTACAAGTACAAAGATTTTCTAAATTAAAGTGTACGCAAAATATATATATGTACAGAGCACAAAAAAATAAAATTAAAAAAAACCTTTTAATCAGAACAGAAGTTTGCATTGGTATCCTGTGTTTTAATAAGACATACAAGTAAATAGAAATTCACACAACCCATGCAAATTTAGCAAATAGGCGCTTGGATTGTTTTCTATTCAAACAATTTTGCAGTATATTCTTGCCAAAATTAATATGCATTTTGTAAATATTTTCAAAAAAAACTTTGACTAAACGTGGAGAGGTTAATAGAAACATGAGTTTTTCTTGTAAGCTGGAAAACATTTGCTGCAAAGCAAATAACTGAATAAAGATGGGATTAACTAGACTGTTTATACATTGGTATCATGTTACATCAATAGTCTATTGCTTTGGTAGATAAACATTCCACCCTAGAACCTATCAGTGAGATAACTCACTGTTCCGGGCAAATTGTGTAGTAAAACAGTAACAAAGTTAGTCACTAAACCACAAATTGTGTAAAGATTACAAAAAACAGAATGACCAATATCGAAAAAGAAACTTGGGAAAAAAAACAACACAAACAAACCTTTCAATTCAACTAGTTTAAATTGTTAAATTCCCTGGCCAATTCCTAGTTTATTGACTAACCATGCTAGAGTGTAATGTTTGTCTACTCCTACTTCAATATACAAGCCTCACAAAGCAGAATTACGTTATTTTTAATTAAACTGGATTTGCCTCCTGGTACTCTGGTGCACTCAAAACCTCAAAGTAATTGCCCGGTAAGATAACATAACCATTTCCAGTTTTGTAGTAAGAAACCTCTTTTTCTAGTCTTTCCAAGTTGCGCTCTTGTCTTCGGCACCGCTGGTTTGCAATCTTTAGTTTTTTCCTCAGTTTATCAACTTGTTCTTCTAGCTGTTGTATCCTCCTCCTCTGAAGGACTGTATCTTCCACAGTGTAATTGTGGTCACAAATCACAGCAATGTGACTGGCTGTATAGGGAGGTGGCAGCAATAAGCCAATAGCAGGGTCCACTTCAGGAGCTATAGGCTGCTCCTGTTTTATATCAGAATCATTTTTTTCATTCTATTAAAAGATAGGGGGAAACAAAGCACAACAGTTATCACATAGCTCAAAGTTCTCTCTTTTTTTTTTTTTTGACACAATAGAGCAGGGAGACAAGAGCTCTAAATTTAACAATCTATTCCTGTTCCAAAATGTAGTAATGCTCTATAATCCCAACTTTTCTGTTCTTTTCTCCTAACCTGTAGTTTTTACTTTTTGATCAAATAATATTGCTGTGCAAGATGTCATGTTCGGGAAGGAAAAGTTTATCAATTACAGTTTATTTTTTTTACATCCAAAGCATATAATTGCCTGTATCTTTGTTGCATAGAATGTGAAGGCATATAAGAACCATTCGGCCCATCTAGTCTGCTCAATTTTTTAAATACTTTCATTTGTCTCTTGCTTTAACATACAGTTGCAAGAAAAAGTATGTGAACCCTTTGGAATGATATGGGTTTCTGCACAAATTGGTCATAAAATGTGATCTGATCATCATCTAAGTCACAACAATAGACAATCACAGTCTGCTTAAACTAATAACACACAAAGAATGAAATGTTGCCATGTTTTTTATTGAACACACCATGTAAACATTCACAGTGCAGGTGGAAAAAGTATGTGAACCCCTAGACTAATGACATCTCCAAGAGCTAATTGGAGTGAGATGTCAGGCAACTGGAGTCCAATCAATGAGATAAAATTGGAGGTGTTGGTTACAGCTGCCCTGCCCTATAAAAAAAAACACACACCAGTTCTGGGTTTGCTTTTCACAAGAAGCATTGCCTGATGTGAATGATGACTCGCACAAAAGAGCTCTCAGAAGACCTACGATTAAGAATTGTTGACTTGCATAAAGCTGGAAAGGGTTATAAAAGTATCTCCAAAGGCCTTGCTGTTCATCAGTCCACGGTAAGACAAATTGTCTATAAATGGAGAAAGTTTAGCACTGCTGCTACTCTCCCTAGGAGTGGCCGTCCTGTAAAGATGACTGCAAGAGCACAGCGCAGACTGCTCAATGAGGTGAAGAAGAATCCTAGAGTGTCAGCTAAAGACTTACAAAAGTCACTGGCAAATGCTAACATCCCTGTTAGCGAATCTACAATACGTAAAACACTAAACAAGAATGGATTTCATGGGAGGATACCACAGAGGAAGCCACTGCTGTCCAAACAAAACATTGCTGCATGTTTACAGTTTGCACAAGAGCACCTGGATGTTCCACAGCAGTACTGGCAAAATATTCTGTGGACAGATGAAACCAAAGTTGAGTTGTTTGGAAGAAACACACAACACTATGTGTGGCGAAAAAAGGCACAGCACACCAACATCAAAAACTCATCCCAACTGTGAAGTATGGTGGTGGGGGCATCATGGTTTGGTGCTGCTTTGCTGCGTCAGGGCTTGGACGGATTGCTATCATCGAAGGAAAAATTAATTCCCAAGTTTATCAAGACATTTTGCAGGAGAACATAAGGCCATCTGTCTACCAGCTGAAACTCAACAGAAAATGGGTTTGCAACAGGACAATGACCCAAAGCATAGAAGTAAATCAACAACAGAATGGCTTAAACAGAAGAAAATACGCCTTCTGAAGTGGCCCAGTCAGAGTCCTGACCTCAACCCTATTGAGATGATGTGGCATGACATCGAGAAAGCGATTCACACCAGACATCCCAAGAATATTGCTGAACTGAGACAGTTCTGTAAAGAGGAATGGTCAAGAATTACTCCTGATCGTTGTGCACGTCTGATCTGCAACTACAGGAAACGTTTGGTTGAAGTTATTGCTGACAAAGGAGGTTCAACCAGTTATTAAATCCAAGGGTTCACATACTTTTTCCACCTGCACTGTGAATGTTTACATGGTGTGTTCAATAAAAAACATGGCAACATTTCATTCTTTGTGTGTTATTAGTTTAAGCAGGCTATGATTGTCTATTGTTGTGATTTAGAGGATGATCAGATCACATTTTATGACCAATTTGTGCAGAAATCCATATCATTCCAAAGGGTTCACATACTTTTTCTTGTAACTGTATATCTAGAATAGCCTTATGCCTATCCCATGCATGCTTAAACTCCTTTACTGTGTTAACTTTTACCACTTGGAAGGCTATTCCATGCATCCACTACCCTCTCAGTAAATGAATACTTCCTGAAATTATTTTTAAACCATGGTACCTCTAATTTAAGACTATGTCCTCTTGTTGTGGTAGTTTTTCTTCTTTTAAATATACTCCTCCTTTACATATATAGGTTTCTATTATATCCCCCCTGTCTCATCTTTCCTCCAAGCTAAGATATTTTTGCCTTTCCTGGTAAGTTTTATCCTGCAATCCATGAACCAGTTTAGTGGTCCTTCTCTGTACTCTTTCCAAAGTATCAATATCCAAGTGAGGTTTCACCAGTGCCCTGTACAATGCCATGAGCATTTTCTCATTCTACTGCTAATACCTCTTCCTATACAGCCAAGCACTCTGCAGCCATTTCCTGCTGCTCTATTACATTGTCTGCCTAACTTTAATTTGAAATAATTACCCCTAAATCCCTTTTCTCAGATGTTGATGATAAGACGGTGTAAAACAAACAAACATTCTATACTCTGTCCTTGTGTTTTTACACTCAAGATTCATTATCTTGCACTTATCCACATTAAATTTCAATTGCCACAGCTCCGGCCATTTTTTTAGTTTACCTTAAAGGGACACTCCAGGCACCTAGACCACTTCTGCCCATTGGAGTGGTCTGGGTGCCAACTCCCACTACCCTTAACCCTGCAAGTGTAATTATTGCAGTTTTTTTTATAAACTGCAATAATTACCTTGCAGGGGTAACTCCTCCTCTAGTGGCTGTCTATAAGACAGCCACTAGAGGGCACTTCCGTGCCTCCAGCGTCGCTCAATTCCCTATAGGAAAGCACTGAAAAGCATTTTCAATGCTTTCATATGGAGAGCTCTGCGGCATTAGGTCTCCCCGGCGGGCGGGATAAGTCTCGCCCACTGGCTGACGTAAGGAAGGATCTCACCCCTTCAGCAACCAGGGATGGGAGGTGGGAGGAAGAGGGGACCTGCAGTGCCAGGAAAACGGATTGTTTTCCTGGCACTGGAGTGTCCCTTTAATCCAGCTTTTCCCAAATGGTGTTCCGCCAAAAAAAATGTGAAAACAAAATGGCCGCGGGGGGCAAAGGAGCAGTGATCTTCCTGCTCAGCTCCCTCGCCCACACAGCAGTGATGCCAGAGCCGGAATATAACGTCAATCCGGCATCACTAAGAGGCGCGCGAGGGAACTGAGCAGGAAGATCACTGCTCCCTCGCCGCCCGCACACCAGCCGCTCAGTAGCCACACTGGACCCCAGGGACTGCTCTCCAGCCGCTCATCAGCCCCACTGGACCCCAGGGACTGCTCTCCAGCCACCCAGCAGCCCCACTGAACCCCAGGCCAGCACTCCCAAAGGTATGGGGCTGGGTGGAGTAAAATGTTAAAAATAAATAAATATTATGTGTCTCTGTTAGGGAGTTTGTATGTTTGTCAGTGAGAGTGAATGTGTGCTGTGTGTGTATCTGTGTCAAGGTTTGTGTATGTGTCACTGTGTGCATCTTAGTGTGTGTGTGTGTGTGCCAGTATGTATCAGTGTGTGTGTTTGTATGTGGCTGTGTGTGTGTGTATCTGAGTGTGTCAGTGTGTACCTGTGGGTGCAAGTTTGGGTGTGTACGTCACTGTGTGTATTTGTTAAAAATTAATAAAAGAAAAGAAAAAGGAGGGTCTTACCTTGGGCTTTGTTTCTGAATAAGAAAACAATGTTGGAACAGCATTATCTTTAAGAAGTTTATTGTTGCACTCTCTCTTAAAGCAGTCAGGTGTAAAGTGGTCCGAGCAGATACTACTGTACTTTGTTGGTTTGAAGTTCACCCTTCTTACAGCAGATTCCCATTTCTTGCACAGTAAGGGCCGGGTAAGTGGAAACCTTTATTAAACAAGAGAAAACAATGAATAAAACACACGTTACGCATAAGACAAATGAGTGACACTTTGTATGAGTTACAGACACAGTCACTCCACTTTTCTAGTGTACTATAATCACTCCAGAATGTAAGCTTATTTGTGGAGGGTCCTTGCTGCCAATGAATGTGTCAATTTACATTTAAACCAGGGCCAGATTAACATAGGGGTTGATGTGCTCCTGCTCCAGGACAAAAACAGGCTCACCATTGAAATATGCAAATGCCTGTTGAGGAGATCAAAGGATCTCCCCTGCCAGCCTAAAGATGGATTTTTGAGACTCCCTGGCCGGTGGGGAGATTAAGGAACTTCCTCACAGACCAGCCCAGGAATAAAGTCTCCCACAACTGTATCGAAGCGTTGCCACAGGTTACCATTGCAACGCACAGACACTTTATGTGGCGCTAACGGAGGGAGCAACAAGCACAGTCTGCAGCTGCTGGGGGTGCAGACTAAATGATTAGCTCATTGGACCACCAGTGACAAGCATTCCCCCCTTGCTGGCCAAGGTAAGGAAGAGGGGAGGTGAATTTAATGTTCACTGTATGTTATTATATACATACACCAACAGTAAAGATGACCACCACTCACGGTTTGTAGATAAAAGGTTAAAAATTGTAGACTTTAAATGTTGAAACATTTTAAAATAGTTGATCGACGTTTCAGTCCTCGTCTGGGACTTTCATCAGGAGATTGTTCCCGATGAAAGTCCCAGACTACATAGAGCCTGTGTGCAAGGACTTTGTGAATTTTTATATAATATTAATACAATGTTAAACAAAAATCTGCACACCAGTCAAGCCATAAGACTTGCTTTTCCCACAGAAATCCCATAACTGGAGCGATGTTACAACTGCAAAGGATTCTGGTTGGGCATATGCAAATGAGTTTAACAAATAATCACATTTTTGCCTCATTCCATTTTAAACATGGATTCCTTTTAATCTGTGTTTGCTGTATACAACAGCTTGCTTGACTGGCGTGCAGATTTTTGTTTAACATTGTTTGTTTATTTTTCTTCATTAACCCTTTAATGCCGTTACGGCGTTCTATGCCGTCCCGCATTAAAAGGGCTTTAAAGCCGTTGCGGCGGCATAGAACGCCATAACGGCTGAAGCCCCCAGGAGATCGGAGGTACTCACCTCCGCCGTGATCCTCTTCTGGAGGGCTGCCTGACAGCCCAGGCAGCCCTCCCCCGGCCCCAGGTGATCCCTCTCAAAGAATATATATATATATATATATATATATATATATATATATATATATATATATATATATATATATATATATATATAATATACATATTATATATATATGTAACGTCATACAAAGTGTATTTTAATATTAGTATAAGTATATTTATTAGTATTAAAATACACTTAGAATGATGTTACATATATATATATATATATATATATACACACACACACACACACACACATACACACACACACACACACACACACGTATAATTACAATAATAAATAAAATAATAAAATAAATAAAATATTGAAACAAAATTTTATATAAATTATATATTCAGATGTAATTTCATTCTAACTGTATTTTGTTAATTATATATATATATTGGTAACAAAATACACTTAGAATATATATATATATATATATTATATATATATATATATACATATACATATACATATACATACACACACATACATACACACACACACACAATTACGTAAAAGATTACATTAGTATACATGTAGAATTGAAATACCTATAAATGCATATATATTAAAATTCTACATGTATCTTTAAGTAATATTTTAAACTTAATTATGTGATTTGATTAATTAAAATTTGATTGACATGCCTGACAACACAGGGAGAAAGTGCAGAGAATTTAATTCGCAAGCACTAAATTTGACCCTGTAACTCTCCAAGACACCATAAAACCTGTACATAGGGGGTACTGTTTTACTCGGGAGACTTCGCTGAAGTCAAATATTAGTGTTTCAAACTGGTAAACTGTATTACAACGATGATATTTTAAGTAAAAGTGACATTTTTTACAAACAAACAGCACTTTTATGGACTATATTATTGTTGTAATACACTAATATTTGTGTTTAGTGAAAGTTTTGGAAAGTTAGAGAGTCACATATAAGGCTTGCATTTAATTTTTTGGACATTGAAATTTGCCAGATTGGTTATGCTGCCTTTGAGAGCGTATGGTAGCCCAGGAATGAGAATTACCCCCATGATGGCATACCATTTGCAAAAGTAGACAACCCAAGGTATTGCAAGTGGGGTATGTCCAGTCTTTCTGAGTAGCCACTTAGTCACAAACTTTTTTCACACAAAAACAAATATGAACGCTAACTTTGGCCAGTGTTTGTGACTAAGTGGCTACTAAAAAAGACTAAACATACCCCACTTTCAATACCTTGGGTTGTCTCCTTTTTCAAATGGTATGCCATCATGGGGGTAATTCTCATTCCTGGGCTACCACACCGTCTCAAAGGTAACATTACTAATCTGGCAAATTTCAATGTGAAAATGGTACGTTCTATATTTGACCCTGTAACTTTCCAAAACACCATAAAACCTGTTAATGGGGGGTACTGTTGTACTCGTGAGACATCGCTGATTACAAATATGTGCATTTCTTTGCAGTAAAACCTAACAGTATTATGACATTCACAGCTAAAATGTCAGACGGAAATACAAATGTAAAAAATAAATTTTATTTTCTCACATTTTTTTAAAATTTTATTCATAATAAATTATGTTCCATATACGAATAGTTAATGATAAATTAAAGCCCTGTTTCTCCTGAACAAAATGATATATAAAAAGTGTGGGTGCACTTAAAGTTACAGCGGTGAATTACAGTTGAACAGACATATAGCGCAAATTCCAGTTTTTGTTTACGTTTGTTTTGCTCAGAACGTGCACTATTGACTCCGCCCTGAAGGGGTTAATACCACTGTAACTATGCTGCCCTGCACCCACCACAGGCATCAACCTCCAGGCACAACAAACAGTGCCAAACTTCCTTACACACACATCAATATGCTACATCACAAACAGACTCATCCACACAGACAAGCGCATAAGCAGTCTACCACTATGCATACAACCCTACAAGCAACATCCCTAAACACACACCAGCTTTAAATACATCACTAAAGACGGTGTGTGTATGGGTCACGGAGTGTGGTTGACTAAATTAACATGGTTTTATTTAAAATTCCAGGTTTGTATTCTGAACTGAAACCTTTCAACAAATTTATATTATTGCACTGCAATTAAACATTTTTAGTTTGGCATGTAATGCATTCCAGTAAAAATGCCCAATAAAATACTCAGCATCGGGCCCATAAAGCCCTGAAGCCAACCATGAGTTCAACTGACATTACGTGCATAGAATGTACTAGTAGGTAACATTCCAAATGAGTATAAGGTAACTGTACAGTCCAGGTATGAATGGCTGCTATTCTTTCATATGGGGAAGGAATGTATGTACAGGCTCTGAGGTCATGCTTGTAATTGGGCAGTTCTTCTCCAATTTATACACACACACACACACACACACAAAAAAAAAAAAATCACTTGATCTGGCAAGGAAGTTTCTACATGGGAACCCTCTGTGGGCACACAACAGAGGGATGGCACTGTCTGTAAGGAGTGTGTGGTCTGCAAAATGCTTTGTAGCAGTCCAGTGGTTACTGAATAAGTCACTGCGCTGCCACCAGTTTACCATGGATGTGCTTGCATTCAAAAAGTGCTGGAACAAAATAGAATTTACTATGGCCTGCACCTACCAGTAGTGCAGACCACACGCTCCGTCTTTGAACCTCCATGGATCCCGTCACAAAACCCATGACCAATATAGTTATTATAAACCCCTCACTGCAGAAAGGTAAGGGGTGTGTAAAAAAGCCATTACTTTTTTTTAATCATTAAGAAATATGAAAGATGTGGCTGGCTTGTGTAAATGTAACCATCCCATATAAATTCCTATAAACATGTATCATTGCCCCCAAAATATATAGAACTCCTGAAGCTATTGTGCACGCGCCCAGGTGCCCTCTTCACGCGCGCTGGCCGAGATGAGCACCACGTGACCCGCCTCTACCACGCACAACACCAGCACGAGCGCCGCGTGACGGGAACTGCGCATGCGCGGCGCCTACCCCAGCGAGCTGGCAGGCTGCGATCCCAAATTAAACTCACATCGCCCCCATCCCCGCTCACAACTTACTTATGAAACGATATGGGCTTGTCCTTGTCGTATCGGTTTTTGCAACCGTAAGCGGAACACGACTGCACCATCTCTGGCCGATCCGTCCGCCCCGGGCTGCTTGCTTGTTTCGAATCGCGGCCGCTCGCTTCCACTTTCGGGTCTCGGGGCGCGCGTTGGCAGCAAAGGTGGTTCCCCCGGTGTCGCAGAGCAGTAGTTGTAGATTTTAGCCGTCACCGGGTTTCGGCATTAAATTATTTTAAAGGAGAGCTTTCTAGAGAGTGGTGCTCCTCCCGTCTCCAAGATGGCTGACCTCGCTTCAAGCTGGCGTCACGTTTACTCCGAGCACGCGAGACGCGATTGAATGGCTCGAGTCACGTGAGAGAAAGTGGAACGCCCGCCCACTTCTCGTACGTTCCGAAGCCAACGGTCTGCGATCAAAGTGAATGGTCATCCGCACGTGGGCGTGGCTTCGTGTACGTCACTGGATCGGGCGGGAATTGCTAGAATGTGAAGCCATGTACTGACTTCAAACTGAGTGCTGGCTAGACAGTGACAGGAATGTTTATAGAGGGGGAGCAATAAATATATATATATACAAAGTAGGCAGCATCACAGGAATCAACACCTAATGAGATCCATAAATTAGCCATCATGGTGTCTGTGTGATTAACCAACACTACTTCAGTGTGAGCGGCTGTATTAGTTACTAACATGCAACACTGGGAGGAAGAAATAACTAATATTATTTCCATATATTAATAGGATGAATAGTATAATGTTTACATGTTAAATTCCTTATGTAGATGCACTGGACAGATCATACAGGGTGGCCTGTAAGCCCCTACCCATCCATAGATGTGATGTAACCAGTGTGTCTGTGTGCGATGGGTAGGGGCTTATGGGCCACCCTGTAGTGTGTGACCAGCTTTCAAATCTCTACATAATGCTGCTCCCACCTATCCATCCTGCCTTATACACAAGTATGTCCCGTCTAGGCCCTTACGATCTGCTGAAGACTTACGTCTATCTTCTGTCCGTACTCCCACCTCTGATGCTCGCCTTCAAGATTTCTCGAGGGCTGCACCGTTCCTGTGGAACTCGCTTCCCTGCTCCATTAGATGCTCACCCAGTCTCCACTCCTTCAAAAAACTGTTAAAAACCCACTTCTTCATAAAAGCGTATCAATTAAACTATTAATAGCTCCTGACTGATTCCTCTTCTGCAACTGTCACTAGTCTAATACTATCCTTTCCTTTTTGTGTCATTTTACCCCACTCCCTCTAGCATGTAAGCTCATTGAACAGGGCCCTCAACCCCTCTGTTCCTGTGTGTCCAACTTGTCTGGTTACAACTACATGTCTGTTCGTCCACCCGTTGTAAAGCGCTGCGGAATTTGACAGCGCTCTATAAATATCATAATAATAATATGTAGTATTCACAGTAACAATTCACAAATGCATATACCCATTTTATTTATTGTTTAGGAAATAATGTGTCCCCCCACACCACCACCCAATAAAATAAAGCTTTGTTCACTAGGTATTGGCCAGTTAATTATTTAATTGGACCAGGACGAACTTAAAGCAACTCTTAACAACGTAATCAGAATAAAGTTGTTATGGCATGCCTCAACATTCCCTATTGAATTGGGATAGTCCCGATTTCATGGTTCTATCCAGCCAGTCTATCTTTGTCCCCTGGTGTCCCATTTTCAGAAAGACCATAGAACTGTCCCTAAACATCCTTTACGGTTCCCAAGGCGTCAAACAGGGCAGTAGCGCCCCTTCGACAAAACAATGAGAAAATATGTGGATTTCTCACACTGTTTTTTTTTTCTAATAGGGAGCTACTGATGTAAGTTTGCTGTTTAACTTTTTACTTTTATTACAACCTGAATCATAAAAAAGGGTGGCCATCAGAGTAAACAAGAGGAAGTAGGACCAGGGACTAATTAAGGACCTTGTGGTCCTGTTGCTGAAAGTTTTGATGAGTCTAAGTATATGTGTATATTAAAGGAAAACTATGGTATTAGGAACACATAATTGTATTTCTAACACTCAAGCCCCCTTTGTCCCCCAAAAATAAAAAACTTTTTCACTTACCAAATTTCAGCACCAATGTTCCTTAGCACTGGGTCGCACTCTGCTGATGGGAGAGACTAAGTGTCTCAGTGCTTTCCTATGGGGATTTTGTAGACACGCTTCCTCATGTATTTGTGGAATGGACAAACTGCTGCCAATGCTATTGTATTGTTATTATTTAATGAATTGTCTAGCAGTTAGAATCTTTTTCTTATTTGTAATGTATTTCATATCTAGTTTCTTCATTTTGCAGCAGGAACGTAAAGGCTTAGAATCCTAATGACAAATTGAATCAGAAATATGCTCTTCTGGGATATTTTATTGGTCTGGATTATATTCTCTCTAAAGTGTAGTACACTTACAGTCTGGTAGTGGATTTGAAATCATATTTCCCGTAAACCACAATAATTATATAATGTATTACTTTCATATATTTTTGCTGGTCTAAAGTATTATACACATACAATTGGCATTCCCCAAAAGTGTTGCACACTTACAACAAGAATGGCAGTTTTTTTTGTTCTAGTATTAGCACCTGCAATATTCATATACAACATGGACACGTTTCAAATCTGTAAGTATCTTTGAAGTCACATTGTAATGTTTATGCCATACTTATATTTTCTTTCAATAAAAATGGATATATGTCAAAAACATGGATAATTTCATCTTTGTCTCTCAGACTGGAATATATTCCCATTAGATTTTAGTTGTGTCAACTAAAATCTAATGGAGGTTTAGTGGTCTAAAACAATTCAGATGACTAAAATACGACTAAAACTAAAATGGCTTTTTAGTCAAAAGACTATGACTAAATAAAAATTTGCCGTCAGAATTAACACTGCCACTAGCTAAAAGTTTTGATGGTCTGATATACAATTGCTTACATGAAGCTTATTACATCCCTAAAAGTTCAGGTAATTACAAATTTCTTTCTCAAAGGGTTTGGTAATTCCTATTGAATTAATAGAATACAGTCAACAAGGCATCCTTATTCCCTGTTATTTCAAAGTATATTTTGAACAAAGCAGAAACCTGTCCGCTTGTTTTCAAACACAGGGATGTTTTAACCCCTTAAGGACCGGCCTGTTTTTGCAATGTTGTACGTTAAGGACCAGAGCAGTTTTGACACTTTTGTGGTGTTTGTGTTTAGCTGTAATTTTCCTCTCTCTCATTTACGGTTCCCATACAAGTTATATATTGTTTTTTTCAGGACAAGAAGGGCTTTCTTTACATACCATTATTTGTATCATGTCATATATTTTATTTAAAAAAAATAATAAAATATGGTGAACAATTGAAAAAAAACATGTTTTTGGACTTTTACTTGAAAAATCTTTTACTTATCTACAAAAGCTAATGAAAAAAACTGCTAAATAGATTCAAAATTTTGTCCCGAGTTTAAAAACACCCAGTGTTTACATGCTATATTGCTTTTTTTTTTGCAAGTTATAGGCCTATAAATACAAGTAGGAAATTGCGATTTCAATATATATATATATATATATATATTCAATTTATCAATAGTGACATTGTAACACCGTTATCTGTCATAAATCCCCTAATCACACCTCACATGTACATATTTTTTTAAAGTAGACAACCCATGGTATTCAAAATAGGGTATGTCCAGTCTTTTTTAGTACCCACCTATTCACAAACACTGGCCAAAGTTAGCATTTATATTTGTTTGTGTGTTAAAAATGCTAACTTTGGCCAGTGTTTGTGACTAAGTGGCTACTAAAAAAGGCTGAACATACCCAATTTGCAATACCTTGGGTTGTCTTCTTTTGCAAATGGTATGCCATCATGGGGCTAATTCTCATTCCTGGGCTACCATATGTAAAATCAAGCCTTATATTTGACCCTGTAACTTTCACAAACACTCACTGACAATATCATCGCAGGGTTAAACACAGTGCTAGCAAATTAAATTCTCTGGACTTTTGGCCTGGGTTGGCAGGCAGGTCCCTCAAAATTACAGTCATTAAAAGTACTTAATTAGGTAAAAATATTACATAAATACGCATGTAGAATTTTAATATATATACATATTTATATATTTGACATCTACGTGTATATTTATGTAATTATGTATATGGACATATGTATATTTCGTATTATTTTTATTTATTTATTTATACATATATATATATATATATATATATATATATATATATATCATTACATTCTAAGTGTATTTTGATATAAATATATATATATATATATTAATATCAAAATACTGTTAGAATAAAATTACATATAATTTTTTTAATTATTGAAACTTATTTTTACTTTATTTTTATTAACATTTTATTTATCATTTATAATAATATATATACAATATATATAGTTAATCTATATATTGTGTATATATACGTATGTAATTAAAATTAAAAGTGTATTTTTATATTAATATACGTATATATAAATATAAAAATACACTTAATATGACATTATATATATGATATATATATACATATATTCTATATATATATATATATATATATATATATATATATATATATATAGAATACATGTATATATATCAGCACAGACAGTCCCCCTGCAGGCAGATACACAGACACCTATTGCGGTCATGTGATCGAGTGATCACGTGGCCGCGGAGTCCTGATCTGCCGAGGGGAGACTGCCCGGGCAGACAGGCAGTCCCCCTGGACCGGGAGGAGCGCTGATCGCCGCCGGGGGACCGACGGCGATCAGGTAAGTAGCCCCAGACCGTTATGACGCTCCTGAACCGTCATCAGTCGTCAAGGGGTTAAGCCTTCATGGGACAAAATTGCACCAACATTCAATTGATTCAAGTTAGGAATCTGATGTTGAAACTGACACACTTCAAGCAGTCTTCCTCATGTTAGGTTTAGGTTTAACCAGAAAGTCATGGATGCTTGCACATCAGACCAGATTTTTGAGAGTTTGGTAATCTCCTATTCTTTTTGGAGTCCCCCATAATGTTGGTCTGATGAACCCACTAGCACATCAATTCTAGATAATGAATAGTCATTAATCGCTTTATAAATTAAGCAGTAGATTGATATCTCTAATGAACTATGCAGCTGAACTGGTGACTAAAGAAAAAACAAATTGGAGTAGAAATTTGAAGGGGCTAGACTGGCTCACTGTCACCATAAATGTGAGGGTGTAGTTTATAACTTGAAGACAAAGTGCAGTGAAAATGGATCATGCAAATTATTACCATCAAATGTATTTGGACTCACTGTTACCATAAATGTGTCATGATTACTGATCGGCGAACTCCCTCGGAGTCACTTCCAGGTTTCACCGATTTGACCACGCCCATTTTTATAAGTGCTGTCCGAACTCCCTGTGATATCTACGTGTGTACCGAACCTCTGATCTTCCAAACCAACTTAGCTGAACTCTATACTCCATGGACACCGAATGGACTTTGACTATTCTTCTACCTTCTCTAACAAACTAAGTTGTTTGATTAGTTTACTGCAAGTAAATTGCTATATTGTCTTAACACTTCAGTTGCCTGCTATCAAAGGATAATCTCAGCCATTAATTAATATAGTTGATTGTGCTCCCATAGAAATCAACATTTCATTTGTATCCTGAATTAATCCTGCACAATGTCAGCATTAACCTGCTTGCTTTTCAAATTTACTCTCTGCATTAATCCCATACTGAAACATTGTTTAAATGAATCCAAAAAGAAACTGTATTATTTTCTCTGGATTTAACCTTTCTTATTTGAATTGCTATTAGAATCTTGTTCTGGACGCACAAGACCTAATCAAGTGAGCACCATTTTGTTTTTCTTAAAGTGACTACATATTCACTTAAATTCTGCAGTTGTGTTCCAGCAAACTTTATTTTCTTGAGTGTTACAAAATGTGAGGTGTAGTTTCTAACTTGAAGACAAAGTTCAGAGAAAATGGACCAATATACGAAAATATTATATTTTCATGTGAGACACAATTTTACAAACCAGTGAGTGGATCTCATTTTCCACAAGAGGGCGTATGTAATGTTTCTGTTTGTAAACATTTAAGTTCCTATGAATTTCAGGTTTCTTTAACACATGAGTTCATGGACAATTATGAAGAACTAAAAACAATATAGCATTTCAAATCTTCATAGTTCAGTCAATACATACATGTTGGTGATTAATACCCAAGCCACGTAAGAAAACAAACAAAAAAAGAAATACAATAAATTTCTTGAAGAACAAGAACTTTCATATTATAAGTGTATTAATTTCCTACCTCAAATCTATCCTTAAAGCGGCACTGTCATGCCGAACTTACATTTCCTCAATCGCTTCTACTTCTCTCCCTCTCTCATGATATGTTCTTAATGTCTTTCTATCTGCTCTAGTTTTCTTTAAAACATATGACAAAATAGGGACTACAACAAGTCAACCAGAGCCAAAGGATGGAAAATAGCGCTGCCATGAATAATAGCCAGAAAAAAGGAAATTTAAGTAAGTATTGATACATTTTCCTTATTCCTGTAATCTTCTTCCCCCCTCCCCCTGTAATCTTCTCCC